GTACAACATGTAAGGTCAAAAATGTTGTCTGAGCTGCAGAACGCATACATGCACATGTGGTCAGCTTGAAAGCATGATGAAAAAAGGAGAGGACTTTGCCCAGGTAGGAAGGATGTAGTGTTGCCACTTCCTGCCGAGTCAGAAAAAGGAAGTGATCTCACAGAGTTATCTCTAGCAAATTTTATAGGAAAGTTCTGTGAGTCTCAGCCCCTTCATGTCCCCATCTGGCAAAACATGAATTGTTGGTTTGACTGCAATAATGTTTCACACTAGGAGCCACTGGTGAAAGCTGAGTTCAGGGGGACCAAAGGTGGACAAACTATCACAGAAGGGCCATGACATGTTCCCCACCAGAGGTTCTACCCCTCCTCTAACACTCTGAAAGCAGGCCACCTCAGTCAAATCAAGATTGCCAACCTAAGGGACACACACTTCATCGTTTCACAAGTAAAAACAAGGGGAGACATGTTACACACCCAAATTCTCACACCAAGAGTCCTTCCCCATTTTTTATTATATTTATATATCACTTCTCCTTCAAAAAGCTCCAGGTGGTATACATAACTCCTCCCCTCCACTTTATCCTCACAGCAAGCCTGTGAGGGGTAGGCTAGGTACCACCAGAGGCTGTAAGTATTGAAGTTTTCAAAGCTTGCTTTTCTTTTTTACTGTGTCTTCCCAGATGGTAGTGAAGGGATGTTGTTTACATTTATGTCTTTGTTTGAAAAGGCAAGTGCCATGTTCAGGTGTACACTTCTAGGCCTAACCCTCATATGTGAAGATCTTCTGGGTGGATCTGTTTAAATGTACTCCTGATGAAGGTGGGAAGAAGAAGAAGAAGGGTCTTTTTTGCAGTTGCCCCATGGATGTAGAATATTCTTACAGGACACAACTTAATTTATCTCCCTTTTAAGCATTCCAGGCAAGCGTAAGCTTACCAGTGTTCTTCATGCTTATCATCTTTTGTGGCTTTTACTGCCATTGTTCACTACTGATTTTATGTATTTTTTACAAAAAAAAATATAAAATGCCAGTGTTATTTGGTCTAAGCATTGTTGCGCTGGTTCTGAAGTCCATTTGGAATCATTGTGCCCCAGCAAATATTTGAGAGGGGGTTAACAGACATTCAAAAGAACCTCTTTCTCTTTTGTGCATGTTAAGCAGATATTAGCTTGCACGAAGACCTTCTGGAAAGGATAAATGCATAATGGTAGATTATGGGCTCTTCCTGTCCTAAAGTTCCACCCCGCCCAAAAAAACCACCCACCAATATTTGTTACGTTTCTGCAAAGCTAAGGGTTCCCTCAGACCTGCTGGTTCCTCACACATGGGTGTTGCCAATTTGAGTAGATAACTAACGGCATTCAAGTCGGAGCATTGGAAATAGATGGAATGATTTATAGCATCTGGGGCATCAATGGCAGTACACAACTTGGGATTCTTTTAAGGAGATTGGGGCAACACTTCTAGTAAAGCTGCAAAACCTATAAAATGTGCATCAACACAGACCAGCTGTTGTCGTATCAGACAACCAAAAAGTGACTGGGAATGTAGAAAACGTTAGATTTTAAATTTCGTATATTTAGATCTTAGCTGGCTCTGTTCTTCGTTTCCCTGTTTTTATTGTTAATTATAATTCATTGTTATTGTTACTCATCTTGGAAGTCCTTGAGAAGGCCAAAAGGCAGGATAAAATTTTATTCGTATAAATAAATTTGCTTTATGTGCACATTCCCCTTTGTCTGTAAAAACAGAGAATTGGAAAGATGAAGGCAAAAGCAGCCAAAAGTTAGATGTTGAATCCCCAGTGCCTATTACTTTCCCCTATGCTCTACAGTTAGTTTCCCACTCCTCCTCTCTGGTGCAGAAATCTAGGGGTCAGAAACTGCAGGTGAGAAATTGCTGGTCAAAACTGCAATTTAGAACCAGGTCAAGTGGGAAGGGACGGGCTCCGTGCAGAATTTGGGGGTAGAAAGGATTCGAAATGGCTCTTTTCGAACCAGAATAAACGCTTGACAAGAGAAGTGCAGCATTTAGGAATTCAGTTGGCTCTCCTGGAACTTCCATCCAAGTATGGGTACAATCTTTCACTCACTTACCTAGGAGTAAGCCCCATTGTTTATTTATTCTGTTGTTTTATCGTTACATTAATAGCCCACCTTTCCTGCAGAAAGCTAGGCGAGCGTGGTTCTCCTCATCAGGTTACGCTGAGCAACTAACGCGCCCAGGGTCACCCGGTAAATTTCATGGCTGATCAATGAAGGCTCCTTGCCCTTACACCCGCGTAAAAATGGTTGCTGCTTTTTAAAGTGCCAGGTCTGTCCCTGTCCTCATTCTTATGTACTGTTTATATGGTGTTGGTTTGTATGTGTTTTGTTTTTTAATTATGTTGTAAGTAACCTTGGGTGGTATATTTACCCTAGAAGGGCAGAACATTGGCGCTCAAAGAAATATGCAGAGGGATCGAACCAAACGTCTGCCCTCATTATTCAAACTTTCCTTTTTCTGGTTCAAAGAGAAACTACCCCTGTAGTGTTATTTGAGGACAAAGGTTCCTAACTCGTGGTTAAAGTTTGGGATGTTTTGGTGTCATAATGATGATGATGATCATTATTCATTGTTGCTTTGTTGCTGCTGCTCTTTTTGTGTTAAAAGTCTGTGGTTCTTTGCTGTGATAATAACGTTGCTAAAAACTATCATTTTCGCTTATTATGATTATAGCTGGTATTGTGATCATTTGACATGCTCTGCACCTGCGTCGAGCTGAGCAGGGTCTGGTGTGGTTTCAAATTTGATGGAGGGGGCGGCCGCGTGTTGAGATCCCTGCATTGGGGGCGGCGGGTTGGACTAGATGACCCTCGGGGTCCCTTCCAACTCTATAATTCTTCTAGGAAGCCACTTTCAGGGGGGAAAGCCCTGGTTTCGATTTCCAGCATTTTAAAATGCGACTCTGGAGCGGAGAGCGTGGAGTGGCGCTTGTCTGCGTTTCGTTTCTTCCAAGCAAGCTTCCCTCGCTCGCCGGCATCCAGCGCTCCAACCCTCATCTAACAGAAGCATCTTCTTTACTCGCGAGGAATGCCCCCTGCGCGTCGCTTGCCCGGCAGGATCGTCACCAGGTTTCGGTGCAGAGAAACGCACGTGTTCAGCGCAGCTCTCTCCAAGGCTTCAGAGAAACGCGCTTTGCTACCTCGGGACGCCGCGGGTTGAACCCGGCACCGTCTGCGCGCAAAGCGAATGCGCTTCCACTGAGCCAAGGCCCTATATCATCCCGTCCCGTCGGACTGTCATTGATCAGAAAGAAGTCTAACTCTCCCGGGGGTCCACCAGCAGAATGAGCAGCAGCACCCGCCTCCAGCAAGGCTGACTTGATCCAGAGTTTGGAAAAATTGAAGTATTCACCGAGGCCCCAGCATCTAAAATTAGCTACCTGCGCCCCTGATCCTTCTGGTCGTTTGCCTCTAAGGTCTAAACTATCCCTTGTGGAAATCTTAAGCTAGGGGCTCATCCACACAGCACGTGGGACAGGTGGGAACGCGGAGATCTGCTCTTCCGCTAAACCCATCACTCTCCCGTCCCAATTTGTCGTGTTGGTTCTGAGATTTAAAATCGTATTTAAAGGCTTACATCGCAATCTCTCCTTTCCTCTGTCGTGGACCCAAAAGAGGTCTCTTTCACCCAAGCACTGACCCTAGACCCAGTCCTGTTTCTCTCCAGCAAGGTAAGATAAGGCAAGGTGGTAACCACGGAGAATCATAAGAGTTGAAAGGGACCCGCAAAGGCCATCTAGTCAAACCCTAAATAATCCTTGACAGATGGCCCAGCCAACCCTCCAACGAAGGAGACTGCCCACCCCCTTTCGAGGAAGTCTTCTCCTACTCTGGGGCTGGGTACCGAGAGGTACAGGGACGCGGGTGGCGCTGTGGTCCAAACCACTGAGCCTCTTGGGCTTGCTGATTGGAAGGTCTGGGGTTCCAATCCGCACGGCGGTGGTGACTTCCCGTTGCTCTGTCCCAGCTCCTGCCAGCCTAGCAGTTCGAAAGCACACCTGTGCAGGTAGATAAATAGGTACCGCTGCGGTGGGAAGGTAAAGGGCGTTTCCATGCACTGCTCTGGCTTCCATCACGGTTAGTTTCTGGTTAGTGCGTTTGCTAGGCTTTGGGGACGTCTTGCTCCTTCACACTTAGGTTCTTGGACGCTTAACTAGATGTGGGTGCTGTGTAACACCTGTCCAAAGGTGGACAACTTGCAGCCTACCATATGTTGCTGGACTACAACTCCCATCAACCCCTAGGAGGCTGATGAAAAACTTTCTGACAGTTAAAGTTGTTTGATAGTGGATCAGTCTCCCTCCAGAGGTGGTGGACTCTACTTCCGTGGAGGTTTTTTAAGCAGAGGTTGGACGTCCATCTGCCATGGATGCTTTAGTTGAGATTGCAGGGGGTTGGACTAGATGACCCTTAGGTCCCTTCCAATTTTATGATTCTATGAACGTATAGCAGGCCGCACGTGTTTCCCATCCTTCTTGGTAAATCCTTCTCTAATTCGTTTTGGGACGGGAGTGGGCACAAACTTTAAAATCGTATTGATCGGAAATAAGGAGCTGGTGTTATAGATTCAGTGGGAAATTCTATCTTTCTAATTACAGTATAGGAAATATCTATCTTTCTAAATAGATACAGTATAGGAAATATCTAACAGTAGCAAATTATTTCTCTCTTCTCCTGTATCATTGCAACATTTACTCTTCCCGCACTCCGCATGGCAATTACGCGATATCCTTCTTTCATCCAACTGAAAAATGCCCAGCAATGTATTGGTTTACAAACGACCTAGCAGCGAATAAATACGGAAACTACGGAACTTTTCCTTCCCCAGAAAGTTACAAATTGCAACCACTTGTTCCAATACGCATTTCATTATCAAGTTCTCTCTTTTAAACGATGTTTGGCTTCTTTTTTTAATTGCTTTTGCAAAGTGTAGAAAGCCACAAAAATAATTGATCAGATTCTGCACGACCAATTTTATTATTTAATCTCAGACGAGATCGCATTATATTCACACACCCCTTCCCCCACTCTTTCTTCCAGGCAAGAGACGTCTTGTTTTGTCGCTGATTTTAATTGTTTTATCTTTTTTAAAAAAACAACAAAAAAACAAAGTGCAATGGCATTGAACTGGTCTTGCAAAGGATGTTGTTACTGCTGTTCTCTTTACAAACCGAACGGTTTTCGTATAAATTAATAAAAGGTTAAGATGCTAATACAATGTTATCATTAGCTTTTAAAAGAAAAAGGGTGGGGGGAAATGGACAGTCTACAGTGTTCGTTATTATACAAAAGGGAGAGACCAATGCTGTACTCCACATTTTTCAAAGTCAATTACAGTAACTAAAACGAATGGGGGAATTTCTTTTTGAGCAGGAAAAAGTTGGAACATATCTCCACAGCAAATTTAATACGCTTTTTTTCTGGGAACAGGTAAGGTCAACCATTTAAAAATATTCAACTCTCCCAGGCCTGCTTCCAAAAAACAAAAAAACCAAACAAAAAAATAAATTTAAATTAAATCAGATGCTAGTAATTAAATAGCCTTATTGGCATCTGACATAAGGAACATTTTATGCTTGGCAAACAGCAAAAGAGATCATTAGCTTCATTTTCTAGGACTCAATTAAAACTGAGGGGAAATAAAGGAAAATTTGTAGCCATTCACTTGGAAGAATATCTAGATGAATTCAAAGGATCTCGCTTCCAAGGAAGTGTGCAGGGGAGCAGAGCGACTAAATTCAAATCTGAGGCTGTAGCCAACTGTGCAAATGCCAACATTACACAAAATTCTGCTTCTGTCTGATGAAGACTCCTGTGTGACCCTCAAACTTACACTGACAGAAGACGAATCGCTGAAACGAAACTGGTTATATTTCCTTCCGTCTCCGTCTCCCTTTTCGGAGCCCCAACTCTGGCACCGATTAGAAATATTGCGCAGCCAGCGAAGGAGAGGGACAGGAGAACAATTATGAGCTATTTCAGAAAATAAATCCCTACCTGCTTTCATATGCCACAAATCTCACTACTGAAACCGAACGAGAAGGACTTTGAGAAGCGAGCTTTCCCCCAATAAAGCCACACGGAGGAGTAAAGGAAATACAAACAGCCAACGCACTCTTTCTAGGCGCGCGCGCGCACACAGACACTCAAACGAACAAGAAACCAAAGTATTGTACACGTTAAATATTCACAGTCAAAGAAGTCCGCTCGCTCCCCCCCCCCCCATTATTTACAGAGTCGCCCACGGATGTAGTTCTGAGTCTGGCCAGCAGGGGGCAGAGAGGGGAGAACGAAGTTGGCCGTCGAGCGGCGCCGATCCCCTTTGCGGAATCAGGGAGGGAAGCGGGGGCCGCACAGCCGGCCCGCCGACAGTCATTCCCCACCACCACCACGACCACCACCAGCAGCAGCAGCAAACAAAACTGAAACACGTCGGGGAACCTCTTCTCCTTCTTCTCTGGGTAGAAAAATAGATCTGTACATCTGTCTGGAGGGGGTGCAGGGTTGTGGAAGAAGCAGCCGTCGGGGATGGACAGATGGATGGTGAGATCGGGGCCCCTCGCTCTCCTTCTACCGGGCGGGATCTAGGCGGGATCTCTGCCGTCTAGGAGGATCCCTCGTTCTCCGAGGTGTGAAGGAGGAGGCTGGCGCTGGCGCCCCCGGTCTTGTGCTTCTTCAGCAGCTGCGTGATCTTCTCGTCGTCCGAATTGGGGTCCAGGGGCTTGTTGTAGTCGTCGTCGTCTTCCTCGTTCTCCGAGGCGCCCTTCAGCCGCTCCGTCTCGGAGTCTTGCTTCTTCTTGGCCGTCGCCATCTCGGCCGCGTGCTTCTTCCGCCACTTGGTCCTCCGGTTCTGGAACCAAACCTGCACAAGGGCGAGGAGAGAGCAAGAGAAACGAGGTAAAGCAAGAGACCCAATTTTTTCCCCTGGCGAGGCCACCCGAGTTCCGTTTAGACGCAGTTTTTCATTCGATCCGGATTAACGAATCCGGAGTGATCGGCTCGATGGCTCTGTCATCCGCTGATGCGAATTCAAACCTGCTTCTCACGTTCTTAACCAGGCAGGAGGGAGGGGATCTGGCCTCACCAAAGACTCTGGCATATGCACTCTTAATCCGGATTAATCCATTAATCCGGGGTGACTCGCAATTCTGAGTTCTGTGCTCACCTGTCAACAGGTTAAAGTGGTAATACCTAAATACCTGGGAACAAGCCCCATTCAAATCAGTGGAACTTAATTCGAATAGACTTGAGAAAGGAAGGGGAGTGTGAAACTTGTCTGGCGTCTCCCTAAACCACACACAACACCTCGCTTTAGAAATTCCTGACGGAGCATCATCTGCATAAAACTGCAACCTCTAATTATGGAATGGCTAGTTCAACTAGTTCGTATCACTGGTGCAGTTAGGCAAGTTTACACTTTGAACTTGATGGTCTCACCGGGACCTATTTAGATGGTAAAATAGAATGATAGCATTGTAGAGTTGGAAGGGACCTCGAGGGTCATCTAGTCCAACCCCCTGCAATGCCCAATGTGGGGCTCAAACCACAACCCTGAGATTACGTCTCAAACTCTACCCACTGAGCTGTCCAGTCTGCATTACTTCGAAATGTGGCAAGTCAATTGTGTAGACGTACTCATCCCGAGTGGCACCCAGAACTTCTGCCCCGAAGTCCTGCCCTAATGGGGGCCAATGGAAGTTCAAGACGGCTTACTCAGGGCTCCCTCCAGCTCTCCTTAGCTGCAGCAAGACCATATTGCCTTCAGACGATCGTGACAATATTGCTTTCAGTCGTTCGCCACCTGCGACCTTGTTAATTAATCCAAATAATTTAAGATTCCATGCTAAAAACCACCAGTGCATACGAGTATCCCCATTGTACTAAAGAAGCACATGTGGGGGGAAAACCCAGCATACGCCTCCTGATTAAAGGAAATTAAGTACCAACATTTATATGCAGAGTGAAGTAGTGTATGCTCCCCTGGTTTTGTATGTAATGGACATTGAGATTAGAATTCTATTTCATCTAGATTCTACAGGAACACCCTGCCTGTACCTGGCAAACTGGTAAAGGGGTTTAAATAACGGGTTGTGCCCATAGATCTGTGCTCCCCTCAAATATACCTCCTCCTTGAAATTATTTTGTATTAGTTTTAATAATTCCATAGTCCCTCAATGACTGGAGGGCATTGTATTAGCTACCCTATAGCAATGGCAACAGCTGCTTCTACAAACTATTAGCTTCCGGTATCTCAGTAAAGACCATGTGCTTAGATCTGAAGCCGATTTGGTTAAAAATTAATAATAATCATCTGTGGGGACAATAACCAACCTAGTTAAAAGAAAGCAAGGCAGCCCTCCACACCAGGATCATAAATCCACTTCTTTGGAAGTCAGTGCTAATGAAAGTGATAGGGTTTACTCTTGAGTTGGTTGCTTGCAGTCATAAGTGATCCCTGCCCAAGAGTCCAAGCCACTAGAACAGGGGTCAGCAAACTTTTTCAGCAGGGGGCCGGTCCACTGTCCCTCAGACCTTGTGGGGGGGCGGACTATATTTGGGGGGGGATGAACGGATTCCTATGCCCCACAAATAACCCAGAGATGCATTTTAAATAAAAGCACACATTCTACTCAGGTAAAAACACGCTGATTCCCAGACCGTTCACGGCCCAGATTTAGAAGGCGATTAGGCCGGATCTGGCCCCCGGGCCTTAGTTTGCCTACCCATGCATAGAAGTTCTCCTGTGTGAGCCTTGCTGAAATGAATGGGAGCTGTGAAGAGCAGAGCCCTTGCCTAGTTCTCATTCATTCCCATGCACTATGGAATTTGTGGAGAAGGACTTCAGGGGAAAAAATGTCCCTTTTGCAGAGGCATACCTAGGCTGCCTTGGGACGCGGGTGGCACTGTGGGTAAAACCTCAGTGCCTAGGACTTGCCAATCGTATGGTCGGCGGTTCGAATCCCTGCGGCGGGGTGAGCTCTCGTCTTTCAGTCCCAGCTCCTGCCCACCTAGCAGTTCGAAAGCACCTCTAAGTGCAAGTAGATAAATAGGTACCGCTTTATAGCGGGAAGGTAAACGGCGTTTCCGTGTGCGGCTCTGGCTCACCAGAGCAGCTTTGTCACGCTGGCCACGTGACCCGGAAGTGTCTCCGGACAGCGCTGGCTCCCGGCCTCTTAAGTGAGATGAGCGCACAACCCTAGAGTCGGACACGACTGGCCCGTATGGGCAGGGGTACCTTTACCTTTACCTAGGCTGCCTTGTGCCCTTGGCTGTATCAGTGACCCCTACCCCATCTCTTGAGTGCCTCTGCCAAGGTGCTCAGAGAAGCCTGTATGCCTTGCCAACTCAGAACAACAGAGGAATATTCCAGGCAGCAGGTGGGTGGCTGGGCAGGTTCCTAACCACTCTGAATCAAACCACCTGTGCCCTGGTGGGTGCCAACCTAGTCAACCACTAGGGATGACTCTGCCCCTTTGAACAAATCAACTTAAACTGGGGAGTGGTAGAGACCATGTTCTACATATACAAGGTCCCATGTGCAATGCCTGAAACACTGGAGAGATGTTCTACTCATCGTAGACAGCCCTGAGTTATAAAGCCCAGTGGCCTGACTTGTTATAAGGCACCTTCTTATGCGCTAACCCAAAGTTGCTTTTGCTGTTGTTTAATTGTGCAATCTTTCATCATAAAGTTATGATGAAAAGTTAGCACCATTTTGCCTACTGATCATATAAAGACCCCCCATTTCAATTGTTACTGGTGCACTTGGTTAAATTCATTTGTCTATGTTTTGGTTCTGAATATATTTTTTATTAAATAATATTCTTGGGTAACAATAGTACAAATAAAGTCTCTTTTTTCAAGTCCGTTAATTTCCCTTGGTCGGTTTAAAAGAAAGGAGATTCTTTAAAAAAAAATGATTGTCAAAACAAATATTACAGAAACCGTGTGTGGCATGTGTGATACTAGGAGAGGCCTTCTCCGCCCTCTCACACACAAACACACATTTGAAGGAAACTGCTCTTCTAAGTTGTTACCCGCTACAACATTTGCAAGCATTCTTTAAAGCGATTCAGGCAGGTCTTAATATATCTCTTTGCTGGAGATGCTACATTTAGCTCTCACTTCCAGATGATTTGGACATGATCCACTCACACCTGCTTCTCTGGAAGACCCTGTAAAAATGAATGGGAGGGCAGTGAGTGGCATCTTCCATTGGAGGTGGCATCTGGGCAGGGCCTGAGGGGCAGTCATGCAGGTTGGACACACAGCATGTTGTAGTAAGTTGACTATGATGCCTCTAGTGGTGAATACTTTGCAATGGATTTAGGCAGCCGAAATGGGACACTTGTGAATGATGTGCAGTTTCCAGAACAGACGTACATCACTCTAAAACTTGATGACCAACTATGAATTGGCTACGTTACCCTTATGACAATAATTTGTTGAGCAATATCCCTGGGAGATCTGCTTTGGCTCCCAGTACGTTTCCGAGCACAATTCAAAGTGTTGGTGCTGACCTTTAAAGCCCTAAATGGCCTCGGTCCAGTATACCTGAAGGAGCGTCTCCACCTCCATCATTCAGCTCGGACACTGAGATCCAGCACCGAGGGCCTTCTGGCGGTTCCCTCACTGTGAGAACTGAGGTTACAGGGAACCAAACAGAGGGCCTTTGGTAGTGGCACCCGCCCTGTGGAACACCCTCCTACCAGATGTCAAAGAGATAAACAACTACTTGACATTTAGAAGACATCTGAAGGCAGCCTTGTTTAGGGAAGTTTTTAATATTTAATGCTGTATTGTTTTTAACACTCGATTGGAAGTGCCCAGAGTGGCTGGGGAAACTCAGCCAGATGGGCAGGGTATGTATGTATGTATGTATGTATGTATGTATGTATGTATAAATAAATAAATAATAAAGCAATTTTTAAAAAAAAAAACCACCCAAGCAGCTCTTGGTCATGTTCATGAACTTCCTATTAACTTATCTGTTATTTTAAGATCATCTGCAAACTTACTGCAGTAGATAAGGATACAAATATGGTAACAAGCCCAGAGCCCCACTTAGGAGATGGAGCCAGAAAGTCAAACATGCAGATGGTCTGAATTATCACATTTTTAAAATAAATGGAAAAACACACATCATCATCTAAACCTTAGATTCTCAGGAGTCCATCCACTCCCCACCCAATAAGACAATTCAGTCCAGAGTCTAGCATTACCTTCCCAATTGCACTACTGCCTCCCATTCATTTCAGCCACGTTTGCCCAAGGGAGTTTGCCAGTAGACAGGACTGTGCCCCTTTTCCTGCCAGTCGTAAGTGGCACTGTGAACTAACACTACCAAGCGACCGCTGTCAGGTCTCCCCAGTATAATGATTGCATGGCTAGTATCGTTAGAGCAGCAATCCTGCGGTCTAAATGCACTTCCTCGATCCAACAAGGCGGATCCGTTTGCAGAAGGATTCTTAAGCATGCATGAGCAATACAGAGCAGATGTGCCTCTGCTTGGCTATCCTCATGCACAACACAGTGTGAATTCGCTGGATGTCTTCTGAGATGCGTGTGGGTCCCCATTCAGAGCTACTAACTCTGGGTAGTCCTGGGAGTCCCGTTGGAATTAATGGGACTTCCCAAGTAAATGAAGTCAAGATGCCACCAGGCATCCCAATTTTATTGCTGCCATGAGTGATATTTTGGACTAATAGTCCAAATTGACTTTCCATATCACAGTGTGCACTGATATTTTAGCATTCTTTAATTACTGGCGTTCCTACCGCTGCAAATAAATCCCCTATTAAAAACACAAATGAATAATAGTAATTTTGATAGCTGCAGCAGTTACTCTCACTGCCAGCTTTTAAAACCATCAGTATATGATTCTCATCAGTGTTAACAATTATATCAATAATTGCTATCCGTTCCATGATTATTGTGACCACCGCAAAGCTATTGTAATTGCTGCCACGGAAATTATAACATTCGCTTACTTACTCACTTAGCAATCAGGACAGACATATTCATTTATTGTTGCTGTTCTGCATAAGAACAATTGCTTCTTCAAAGACCAAGGATCTTTCGCAAGATAGAGTTATTATTAAGAAGGCAAATATTAGCATAATGTGATCGCCAATGCCGTTATAGCAGAAGTCATGTTGATGTGTTGGAGTGATTTATTGCATAAAACGGTGTGAGTGCTTAATATAAGTACTTTCATTGTGGTTATGTTAGGGTGGCCAGATTAGCCTCCTAGTTTTTGTACCCTTCTGCAATCCTGCAGTCCTATGCATTACTACTACTACTGTGATTTACTTCTGAGTAAACAGTAAGTCACGCTACATTCTTTCCTTATTTTGCCTCCCCCATTCCTTCCATTCCTTTCATCCCACACACCCCTCCTGGCAAAATTTAAACTGTAGGCTTCTCGGGGCAGAGAACTGCACTGCCAATTTTTTCTTTGGCCTACTTGTCCTGTAAAGTGTCCTGGGCATTAGTTGTGCTGTATGTAAATTGTGACAACAACCATTAACATAATCTAGCTGACATTCTGCCGGACCTTTAAATGCCATTGATTCAAATAGTAGAGGTAAGGATTTGCTTGACTCTCTTCTATTCAAATCAATGGCATGCAAAAGTATTTAACTGTGGCTGGATGGTGCCCAGAAACAGCATGTTTATGTCTGGAGCTAAGGAGATTTTTCCCACCCTGATGCACTAACAACTTAATTAAAGACTCTGTTCCCTATACCTTTGTTTCATTCTTTGACATTTTGTCCAAAGGAGCACCCAGAGCTGGGCTGACTCCCTGCACAAATGATGCTTAACTCCTGTTGAAGACAGCGGGAGTTAAGCAGCCCAGCTGCAGGCAGGATTGTCATAAACAAGCAAATGTTGATCTGTCCGCTAAAACAAGCTTTTGCATAATAATATGTGGATCGCCTCTCATTCTTGTACTTTTTATTTTCTGCTAAAGTCTCTACATCCACACACCACTTCTACTTTCTTCTCCCTTATTTGTTTTACTACTGTCTCTCCATCTTTTTGCTTATTTGCTTTCCCTCCCCTCCAGACTAAAATGAAAATATACCAAGCTGCACTGCACTCCCCTCTCCCCAATCTGTCACACCAAAATATGCGCATCCTCATTTGTTATTGCTTTCCTTAAGGGTAATTCAAAGGGAAAGCTCTCCTCCTTCTTAGGTCTATAAATCCCTGGCACCGGGTGGTTTGAAAGAAGGGTACTCAAGTAGACTGTGCTAAAAGTAACCATTGCAACTCCCCCTGACACCCCCGCTCCACAATTAATATCTTTACGCTTCCCCCCCCCCAAAAAAATGGCAGGACTGTTGTTCTTTTAGATCTAACTACATTTGTGCAAATGACCCTGTCTTAAGGGAACTTTTGTGGATTGAACTCAATGAGGCTGCCTCCGTTTCCAGTCCAGAAAGAATTGCTCACACTATGTTGTGAAGGGTTACTTGGGAGTAAATCTTACAATCCTATGCACATATGCTGTGTGCATGAACTCAGAAGTAAGCCCAGCTGATTGCAATGGAACTTGTTTCCAGGTGAAAGTGCACAAGATGATAGCCTTACTTGGGAGCAAGACTCATCAGAACTAATATTATCTCCTTCGGATTAGATATGTATAGGATTGGGATCCACGTCTCCCTGAAATCAGTGGGGCACTTTTATCTAGTCCAGGAGATTATAAACACATTTGGCTGAGAAAAAAGTTAGTGCTGCTCAAATCAATGAGATCTAAATGAATCCTGCGGGTTTTTCTCTGGGAAGAATGGGTACATAAGAGCTTTGGTGTGCAACAAATAAATTCCATCACCTCTAATAATACATCTCTCTAATAATACATCTATCTGCTTAGAAAATTAGGAAAGTAGCCTTAAGAAAGATACATGGCAAGAGAAAAATATTTTTGTATTATTATTATTATTAATAATAATAATAATTCCCCATAACTGCACGGTCATGTTCACAATACACATTTGATGCACAATACACTTTTCCCCTCCCCAAACTCACTGCAATAAGTAGCTGGGGCTTCTGCTCCTAGTATATACAAGTACTACAGTAATTTATTCACGGTCTTCCCCATATATTTGCAGTGACAAATGAGGGTCTCTAGATAACTTCAGGAAGAAGAGACAATCTATAAAGGAACACACACACACACACACACACACACACACACACACACACACACTGTTAAGCTACATTTGTTCCAAACGTTGTCTGGAGAATTTTCCCTTTGGAAAAAGGGGTGGCGAGAGTTGAGGGGGAGTGAACCCCTACACTGTACTCGCATGACAGTGCCCCTCTGCGACAAGGCATCTCCTCGTTTTCCCTTGATATAAACACAATCAAGGGAGCGGTGGAGGGAGCCCTTCGTGGGCTCTCAATATACTTTTTATGCCTGCTAATTCTGCTAATTCAAAGGAATGGATCTCTATGGCTCAAACGAAGGGCTCTGGGGTTCTAGACACGTGCTAAAAATAATTCTAAAAATCCAAGTCAGCCTGGGAGAGAAGCCACACGCAACCAAACTTTGCAACCATTACAGTGCGGCCCTACACGTGTCTACTCAGAAGTAAGCCCCACCCAGTTCAACGGACTATAGGATTGTAGCTTTAATAGTCCTCCAGTACAATCCTATAAATGTTTACCAGGAAATAAATCCCTATGAGGATTCATCCGAAAATACAGGATTGTCATTTTACTGGAGCACTCGTTTCATTTTCCTGTTCCTTTTATGCAGCTACATAGAATGCTACGTATAAATGCATAATTATGTATAAAATACAGGCTTTTGAATGCCGTCTCGGGATCACTTTTTTTCTATGTAAAAACCACAACCCTATCACTCAGCATTTAAATCTGTTGCCTTACAGCTGAATACTAGATGTTGCTGGTACTGTAATATAGTTTTGTGGCTCCAAATAGACCGTTGGGGGGGGGACTTCTGTCCCACGGACCTAATTAATCTAATAATATAGAATAACCCATTTATTATGGCATCAGCTTGGGGTTTCTGGAGTCCATCTATGCATCTGATTGAAGTAGACTTTGGTCCAGGAAAGCATATCCTAGAATAAAGTCCAAGGCGTCCCAATACTCTTTGGTTGTTTCTCCTGGAAAAGACTTCACACGGCTACCCCTGTCTAATAAATACGTGTTAGGTGCAAAAACCACCACCGTCCAAGTGATGTCAGTGGCAAAACTACCCTTTAATTTAATGCCCCTGGACGGAGCTCCGAATCCAAAGTGATCGCCTTATATGACTGCAGTCATTAATGCTGTATTGAAAGCAGTACTAAATTAGCTGCTGCAATCCACACACCGGAGCAGCCCCGTGGACTCCCACCGCGAGGGACGTGAGATTCATTAGACTTGGGCGAAACTTAGTGCCCAGAAATTGTTCCTCTTAATGACCTCCTCACTTAAATAGTCACCTTCCGGTGGAAGGTCACTCTATCGAAATCCCTTTTTCTAAAGAAGTCTCCTTTCAGCTCCCTTGAAGACCCGACCCCTTTATCCACGGTGGCATCTACTCACGAGTAAATGCATTCAAGAGCGGGACGCCTATACTCTTTTCAATAGTTCTCAACGGTGTTTGGGATCGTGGTCCTTAAAAAAAAAAAGAAATTCTTCCCTTAACGGTAGGATACTAACCCCACTTCTCCCCAAGTCATAAATATATTTCCATAAAAATATTTAGTTGGCCTTTTCTCCCAAATCATAACACGATCCAGAACAACTTTGATTTTATTTTATTTTTCGGAAGGGCAGAAGTTCTTCCATTTTATTACAACTTATTTCCGAAGTAAGAGATGGGCAAGAATGTTTACAAGCTGAGGAGGGAGGGGATCATTGGAAATATAAGAACATTTAGTCTTCTATTTCCTTCATTTTTGTGGGGGTACTGAAAGAGCACTAACTGCAAACAGATAGGTAATTTTTTTTTGTTGTGGGCCAGTTTGTAAACTCAACATGGCTATAATTATAATTAGTAAGTATTTTTAATAAATAATAAATAATCATTAACGAAAAAGCTGTACCTTACTCTTATGTATAATTATCTAAAGCTACAAATTAGGAAAAACAGCTTAGAATTTATATTTATATTTTTCCCTGTCTTTCAAAATCCGTGCGGCAGCAACAATGCGGTAAGGAAAGGCACGCGCGCGGCCCCTCTGCCCATTGCAAGATGAAAGCGATGTGGAGGGCACGCGCCCGATCCCTTTTGTTCATCCATATCTCCCTCTTATCGGCCGCATTTTAACACTCTCCCGCCCAGACTGAGCAGTGGCTAGGGCCGGCGGGCGGGGGGAGACGGGGAGGGAGTAGGGAGGAGCGGGGGGGGGGCTCAGAGATCGGCTCTTATCTGACCTACTACACTCACCTTGACTTGGCTTTCGGTCATCCCCAGCGAATAGGCGAGCCTCGCCCGTTCCGGCCCGGCTAAATATTTCGTTTGCTCAAAAGTCTTTTCCAAAGCGAAAATCTGCTGGCCGGAAAACGTCGGTCTTGTGTGCTTCCTTTTGCCGTCTTTATCCAGCAAAATCGAGCCTTGATCTAGAGGGAAGGGTCCGCAGGAGGGGAGGGGAGGAAGGAAGGAAGGTATATATGGAGATATTTATTATTATTTGTTCTTTTAAAAGCAATGGCCATAAATGTATACGCGCGCTTGGCAGTCCCTCTGAGTGGTGCGGCACATATGTATTTAAAATCCTACTATGGGGAATTTCCGCAATTAAAAACTGCCCTCTTTGAAGAAACTGCGACGGTTTGGGGCATCCTGGATTTTACAAACAGGTGCAAATTCGAAATGGTTTAGGCATCAAATCTGCTTCGGAGAAAGTTATGCAGACACACAGAGAGGGAGACGCAATTTATCGTTGTTCACCTTTCTGAAAACAACGTCCAAGACTGATATTTAGGTTTCGAAAGTCCTCCAAAGAAATTAAATGTTAACTCAAAACGATTAACTTTAAAAGATCAGGAGGATAGGGCATCTGAAGGACTCCACAGAACAACAAGCGTTTAGTTAAAAGATTTTGCCCTTGCTTGCGAAACCAGAAGGTTCGCTCCTGTATCAAAGATTCCTCCCAAAAAGCAGAGAATTTTATATTAAAAAAAAAAATCAAGCCGCCTATTTTCAACAGCGCAAGCTCCTCAAAGCCATGAAAGAAAGGGAAAACCCAAACAAGCAAGTAGCAGTCTTACACAGCTGAGTTAACCTTGTTTACTCAAGAGTAAACCCAACTGATTTGAATTAGATTTACTCCCCAGTAGCTCTGCATACAACTGCAGCTCAAGTCGTTTGTTTAAGAAACAAGAGGGCTTAATTCGCCACTCGCATTTCCTCTGAGAAAGGGCCAAAACGAATAACTAAAACTTTCCACGCTTTTCTTCCTTCCTTGCAGTCTAGATTTAGGGGGGAATGGGGTGGCAGGTCGCCTTTAACCCTGTTGCTGAGATCCTATGCGCCTAACCTGGGAGTAAGACCCGCTAAACACTCTGGGAGTTACTTCCGAGTAGGATTGGGGCGCGCAGGGAAAACAAGCCGCTAGGCTGGATTTTAAAGTGCGGAAAGGGGAAATGATCGTGTTTGCGGCAAATGCATCTTTTTTAAAATAAACCAAATTGTTGATTTATTTTGCAAAAGAAGCAAAAATGTCCAGCGCGTCAGCAGAAGCAAGTCGGATTCAGCCTCAGAACCGCTGGGGGTAAACAGAGAAGCAACGTGGCTAGTCAATTACTACTGCAAAAGTAGACAAAAATCGCCGCGGCGGGCGAAGCTCGCTTGAACAGCTTCAATTTCTGCAGCCGGGGGGGGGGGCAGGAGCGCCCAAAGCCTCGCTGTTGCAGCACGGCCCTGTGCGTGCATGTTTACTTGGTGCAAAAACAAAAACAAACCAAAAAAACACCCACCCTGCAGTTTTAAAAAGCTCAAAAGTGCAGAAGAGTTATTCTTGTGGCTCCGAGTTAAGCGGATTGCCTTGCAAAACCGAAGTTTACCTCTAAAGTACTGCTGGAGTGGAAATGGACTAGAGGGCATTTATTTGCTACTTCAAACCTGTTTGTCCCGGTAGCAACTATGTAGAGCAACTGTGTCTCAAACTCCTGTAACCCCGCAGAGAACATGCCAGGGATGAGAGCAGCAGCAGTGCGCCCGTCGTGCCCCTTACCTGAACTGTCCCCGGGACCTTGTAAACAAGTGCGTGGCGTTTTGTAGTTTAGGGACAAGGCCGTGTCAAGGAAGCATGGGTCTCAAACACTGCATGGATGAGTGTGTGGGAGCAGATGGGAATTGGAGAGGCAATGAATCATATCCTCCCGGGTTAAACTACCCCGTCGCTGCTTATCCAGCCCAGCTCTCCAATTCCAGGCGCAAAGACTGGTGGCCAGAGCACAACAGCCCGTTGCCCAAGGAAGAGGACCTTTGGAGAGGACTGGATTGAAGGCCAAATGACTGAGGGTCTCGGTACCCAATGGAGACATCTGGGAAGGCTAGAGGAAATTGATGGGCGGCGAAAGTGGGCCCTAGAGGTGAACGGAGTCCTTCAATGGGCATATTTTGTGCGTAACAGCCACTGTGGGTAACCCTGGAGATTTTGATGGAGCGACTCTCTCTCCCTGTGACTTTGTCCCCATCCCATCCGGGGGGCCCCTGCCTGGGGGTCGGGGTTGTGAGGGCTGCGGTGTCCAAGGAGCCACATGGAGACTTAGTATCCCCGTGCCCGGGAGGCCACAGTGCCTAGTGGTAAGGGCTGCAGCTGGCGGACGGCTAGCTCGGGGTGCGCACTGCGCGCAGTTTTGTGAAATGGTTCTGGCCTTGGGGAAAGAGGGTCCCCGTGGGCAGGAAAGCCCTCTTGAACCCTTCCGAGCTACTTACGCGGCGTGCAGGCGAGTCTCGCGTCCCTCCAAGGCGGGCTCTGCATCACCCCTGGCCAAAAGATGGGGGTCCTGCCGGGCAGCTCGGCCAGGGGCTTGGGGTAGCGCCCCACGGCGGCCACGGCGGCGGCGGCGCTGGGGCTGAAGTAGAGGCCCGGCGGGGGCGGCGGGGGGCTAAGGCTGCTGAAGCGAGGCAGCCCAGCCAGGAGGCCGGCGGCCGGCGAGGCGGACGTCGAGGAGGCCACCGAGGAGGAGGCGGCGGCTGCCGAGGAGACGGCGAGGGCGGGCATGGACGGCCGGCTGAGGATGTCGTTGATGCCGTGCGGGGTGGCGGCGGAGAGCTGCTGCGGGGGGGAGCCCAGCGCCGACAGGGCCCCCGCGCTGTGGGGCTTGAGGCCGGCCGGCGTCGGGGAGCCTAGCGGCGGCGAGGGAGAGGCCGAGGCCGAGGAAGACGACGACGAGGAAGAGGAGGAACAGGACAAGGACGAGGGTCCACTGGGAACAGCCGCGCCTGCTGTGGGGGGCGGCAGCGGGTAGGCCGCGGCGGGGTACAGAGGGGTCTTCATCTCGGCCATGCTGTGCAAGGCGGCCAAGGGGGGGCTGCTGAGCAGGAAGGCGCTCTGCCGGGGGGTGCCATCCATTTGCCCCACCGCCAGCATCCCCGGGCCGGGCGGCCTCCCAGGGGCTGCACCGAGACGACCTCCTGCGCTCTCGGAAGGCCGGACGTCTGGGATCCGAACGGCAGAGGTGGGGAAAGGACAGGGGGTTCCTCCTATTGGGGGCGGAGGAGGGAACCAGGGAGAAGGGGGTGGGACTGACCAGCCCCCCTAAAACTGCGGGAAGGAGGGGGATGCTCCGCTGTTGGAAGGGAAGGGGAGAAGGAAGAGGGCCTGATTCTCGGGGTACTGTGGAAGCGAGGACGCCCTGGTGTTGGGGTGCAGGGGCAATTTGTTCCTTGAGATTTGGGTACAAGGAAGGGAGGCTGTCTGGACTGGGGGTGTTCCCTGCTCTGGGTCTAAGCAGCGTCCCAATTTGGGGGTTCAGGCCGCCTTCCAGGGTTTTCAGAAAAGGCAGAAGGCGGCGCGGGGAGCAGTCCTAGTTCTGCGAAAGCAGGAAGAGTCTTACTGCTACTAGGGGTGGAGAGAGAGAGGTCCCTGGTGTGTGGGCGCTTTGAAAAGGGGGTTCCCTGCTTTGGAAGGGTTGGGAGAGCTGGGAAGCGTAGAGACAACACGCTCGAGAAATACACTGGGAGGTCTCCAGAACCTGGGGTCTCAGAGCGGAGAGTGGGTTGTCTGTGGGAGCCCAAGGTTTAGATCTCGGGGTCGTTCAGGAGCTGAGACAGATTCCAGCCTTGTTTCTTCCGAAAGAGGGGAGATTCGGGGTGCCCTGTGGTGCAGCCACTGGCGGAGAGCAGTGTTGGGGGCCACTGTTCTGAAAAATGCAACTAAACTCCAGCCGAAGAAGATTTTGCTGATAAAAAAAGGAAGGATTGGAGAGCACAAAATCTCATGCTACTGCGAACAGTAGCACTAACTGGGGGGGGGGTTTCTATCCTGATCTAAGGGTATCTAATGACTGGTATCCTTTCTTAAGAGGGTGGGTGTTTGTAAGCGGGCCCCCTTTTAGGAGCGGGGGTGGGGCGGGTGCGCAGAGAGAGAGAGAGAAATTAAGTGTCTTGCTTTGGGGAGCTGGGAGACTGCAGAAGTTTTTTTTAGGGGGGAGTTCAGGGATGCTACGGCGCCCTGCTGGGAAAGGTAAAAGTCCTTCGGTATTGAAAGTCCTTCTTTCGCTGCTTCGTCGGGGAGGGGTGAAGGGCTGGAGAAATTCGCTGAACTGAGCTTTCAAAAATAAATGTGGGGGTTGGTGGGGGCGGGGTGGAGAAGAAGAACCGTCAAGTCTTTTGCCGCCACAAAACAAAACAAAAACCACCGTCCTGGAGCGGGGGTGGGAGAGAAGGAGGCGGGGAGGAAGGAAGAAATGCACATTCACTTGCAAGGCGCAGATCAAGACGCGGCTGCAGTTCCGGCCGAGGCGAAGGCTGTAGTTCCCGGCGCTTGCAGGCCGGCGGGCGAGCTGGACGGCGGGGACTCCCGGCCTTCGCCTCTCGGCTGCTGGAGGACGAGGAGGAGCAGAACTTCAGTGGATCCTGGGAGCCGGTCCTCTTGGCCTCGGCATGCTCCTGCCTCCGCGTCCGAAAGGGATCTCCTGCTGGCTCTCTCCTCCCGCCCGGCCTGGGGCTCCGAGCGCGGCTGCCTGCGGAGAAGACCTCCCTGTTCCCGGGACATGGACGGATTTTGTAGCTTCGCTTCGCTCCTCTGGCCGTCTAAACGCCAGGAGAAGGTCCGGATGCGCTCTTCTTTCCTCGCCGCTCCCCGAGCATCGCTGGACTGGGTCTAGCTTTTACTCCTCGGCCGCCTCATCCTTTTTAAAAATAAAAATCGCGACCACCTTTTCCCCCTCTCCCTTCTTGAATCTGCTTTTGCCGGGCTGGGATTTCGGCGCGTCTTGCTCTCGTCGCTTCTCCTCGCTTCTCAATTTCTCTTCCTCCGGTCTGACAGATCAAGACGCAGCCCCTCCAAAGCAATAAAACATTTTCATCACTCTCCCGGTCTGCTTTCGCTATAAAGGGGGCAAGACAAGAACTTTGGAGAGGCGTCAATAAAAGAGGCAGCGGAAGGAGGGGCAGAGGCGGGCACCAACCTCCTCCCTATAGGACCTGCCTTCTTTATGGGGGGTGGGGGTGGGGGGAGGAATCTGGAGAGAGAGGCAGGGAGATGCGGCCAGCCCAGCCCTCCCTCCCTCCATAAGGGGCGGCGCCGGCCAAAGGTGCTCATTTGCATATTGAGCGCGGACCCTGTTAAGTTGGAGCGCCGGAGTTGGGGAAGAAAAAGAGGAGAAGAAAGCGCGTCCGTGTCAAATAAATCTGAGGATTTGCAGCGCGTGAAAAAATCATATATATTTTTTAAAAAAGAAGGAGAACCTGTGTCGATCCTTTGCTTTCTTAAAAATAAAAAAGTCACGCATCAGATCCCAAGGAGGCCCGCGTCTGGTTCTCGGGGACCTCTTTTGAAAGGCTGATTAAGTGCCATATGGACCATCGTCCCGAGTATTGTGTAAATGAATGTGATGCTCCTTAAACAAACCTATAGAGATGCTGGAAACCCCGCTCCGCCTCTCCCTCTCTTTCTCGGCTGAGCAGGGCAGTAAAGCAACTCCCTCCTTCTGCCAGCCCTTTCCCCGCTATCTTGTTTTACTTCTCGTCTGTTTAAATGGGTTGTGTCTGTCCGTCCGTCCGTCCGTCTGTCGGGGTGTGTGTGTGTGTGCCATCATATTAAAACCAGCTCGTCCAATCCTAACTGGAAGCCAACTTGCCTGGTCGTATATTGACGGGTTGCAGTAAGGCAAAGGCAGGCGTAAATTAGTTGTTGTTTTTTAATTGGGGTGTGTGTGGTTCCCCTGGACCCTTGTTGATCTCCAAGTTTCCTTTCTCCCCCCCCCCCCGCTCCTCAACCCCACCATTTCCTTTCTCCACGTTTTCCCGAACAGGAACCCAGCATAAGAAGGGCCAGGAGGTTTTTGAAAGTCAAACCAGCCCCGGTACCACAGACACAGCAAGGAAGGCAAACGCAAGCAAGCGTTAGTTACCTGGGTTAGAGGCTCAAATGCTGTTTTGGTGACTGATTATTAATTCTTTAACTTGGAGACTCCCCTCTCCCCTATTCACACACACATTTACTTGGATCCGACCAGAATATGAAGATATCAATGGGGGAGGGAGAGAACCGTATATTTTTAACACACGCGCGGATCAGAACGGAATATGGAGATATCACTGGAGAATTTGTATATATTTAACATGACGGACCCCCCCCCCAAAAAAAACACCCCACACTCGTTCACACACACGAGAACGCTTGCTAACGTCACCCCAGAATATGAAGATCTCACCAAAGAATCTGAATACTTCATTTGGGATGGGGATGATTTTTTAAACCAACAGTGAACAAGCCACCATGTCAATCAATTCCTCATCCCATGCCCTAAAACAAATCCCTGCCGCCACCCCAGAAACGCCTATAGAAACTAATACGCTGCGTGCTATAAAACTTGGGGCCTCCTATCCACGTTCGCTTCTTTTGGAAGCCGCGTTGGTTTCAAAGGGGAAGAGTTTATGAACAGCAGCAGCAGCATTCCGCGTTCTCAATGGAAGCGACGCGCAGAACTTCGCGAGAATTGCGCCTTTTTCAGTTCACGAGCGCCTCGACTTTCATCTGAGGATGGTATGGCCTTGGTTCTTAGCAAATATATATTCCGAGGGTTGTATAAATTGCACGGGTTGTTTGTTGCTACTGTTGTTGTCGTTGCTGCTGCTGCTGTTCGAGCTTTTCCAACTTTCAAAAGCCAGCCGGAGAAAGCGATGCTATCCGCATCAAAAAGCGTTTAGGAGCTTCGCCCCCCATGAATCGGCGTAGTAGTCGATTTGAGAACGGGATATACGCGACACTCTGTTTTACCAGTGATCTTAGCGGAATGTGTGTGTGTGTGTGTGTGTGTGTGTTGGATTTTATGCTCGCTTTGGGGTAGTTTCGTGAGCGCGTTTCATCCCTTCTTATATAGTTCCCTGGTCAAAGAAACACGTCCCTTGCTAAAGCGTCCCTTTAGCTCCCCAACAGTACAGGAAAGGATGAGCTGACTGCAAACGCGCTCGGGAAAGTGCGGACCAGTAGCGAAAAGGACTTAGAGGTGGACGTGGCTGTGCCTTGGGGGTCGTTTTATTGCTTTTCTTTTTTCGTCGCCAGCTAGGCCTGGTAGTAGTGGCCAGTTTAAACGAACAACCCCCGCTCGTGTTTAGAGTAACATGGGGACCAGCTCCTAAGCGTAACATTGTCCCGGAGACTCGCTAAAGCAGGAACTTAAGCGCGTTTGGGAAACTTGGCAAAAACTTTGCGCTCTTTACGCAAACTTGCCTTTTGGTGGAGCAACGGCTGTTTGTTCCTGATCAGGCAGATATATTTCTGTTTATTGCTTCCATTCTTATCCCGGAGCCTTTCCGTAAAGGAGCTCTGGGCGACAGAAAACGCACCCAATCTCACAACAACCCCGTGAGGTGGGCTAAACGGAGAGGTGGCAATTAACCCAAGGGAACCTGAGTTTGCTGAGGAGTTAAACCTGACGCTACAACCGGGGTTTTGTCATATGTCCTCTTTTTCCAGGACACGTCCTCTTTTTCATGGGTATGTAAAATGAGAGTCGTCATAGCGACCCATCGTTAAAAGCAGATGTTGGCAACTTTTTGCTCTTCAAAATACGGCAATCCTAGAATCCCTTTCTAGGATTGCCGCCTCCCCACTCTCAACTCATTGACAGGGTTACTCTCTCTTTAAACGGCTGCAGCAAAAATTCAACAGGTGAGGCTTTCAAGTTCCCATCCCTCCATTCTGGGAAAAATCCCCCCACCTGTGGAATTTCTGCCCAGCTATAAAGTCCTGTCACAAGAAAGGCACGTTATCCTCTTCGTTACCACGCGCAGAGGACCGGAGGTAGAAGTGTTGGCCGTGACTTCTCGCAACCTCACCCCGTCGCTGTCTGAAACAGTAACGCCGACCCACCTATAGGGTCGGAGGCGGGGATGGGATCAGAATAGCTCAGCGGCAGAGCACGTGCTTTGCATGCGGTAAGATCCCCGGGTCGATCCCCGGCGCCTACTGTTCCAAAAGGAGCAAGTAGCAGCAGCAGACAGATACAGGGAAAACCCGAGGCCTTGGGGAAGTCAATACTGAGATGGAGGAGCTAGTAACCTGCCTACAAGGCGACCTATTGAAAGCGCGCTGAACGCTCCGAATGTGCCGCGTATAAGAAACGGGTTGTTTTGGTGCTCGTGGGAGAAAGTTGAACGGGATCTATTTTTCAGTGCAAGAGTTCAGTTTTCGGTATTGAGGCGGGCATGCGCTTGATTTTACCTTAAATCAAGTAAATAAATAAAAATACTTCACTAAAAGGAGAAATTGTAGAAAGATTTTGATTTTTCTGAGCACTTGGGGGTCAAAGGAATAATAATCTCAAACAACTCTTGCTGAGATATTTCATTCCGAATCTCCTAGACAGAGCCAAACAGAGGGTGATGACAGATGCGTGTCCTGCCCCTGCCTTAACATAAATCATGGCTTCGCCCATGGAGGCGGGCACTGAAACAAACAAACAAACAAACAAACAAACAAACAAACATCCCCTTTAATTCAGGCATATGGAGGCAACGTTCCTTCCTTCCGGGGTGCAGAAAGAACTCACTTCCTATTTAAGGGTCGCAGTCCCGACGCGGAAATTGCGCGTGTGTGCATTTGCTTCCAGAAAAACCTCTCGCTTTCGCTGGGCAACCTCTGTTTCCTAGAGCAGCGAGGTGGTCTTATCTGCCACTCTCCACCCAGCCTTGCATTGCCTCTCTCGCTTCAACCGTAGCCTGATTCCATCCAAAACCCTATTTCGTCCAGTGGCAAGGGTGTTTAGGAGGGAAGAGGTTAAGATCCAAAACCTTTTATTCTCCCCACATCTGCCAGGGACTGGGGGTGGTAAACTCCAAGCGGGGGGGGGGTCTCTGCTTCCTCCTCCGCCTCCCCCCCCCCCACCGCCCACCGCAGCGAGTGCAGAGACGTCGAAGAGCGTCGACTTTCCCCCTTGGCTCACCATTTGCTATGGATAGGCAAAGTGTCGCAATTTGGAGTTTTGGGTACTCCCTCCCTCCTTCCCTCTATCTGTGTGGACGGAGGTGGGGGATGTTTCGATCCTAATCCGGTTTTGGAAGCGAGTTGGAGGCTAAAGCACGGATATATCGAGGAAGCAGCAGCCGGACGCGCGAGAAAACGCAAATGTCGGAGGCGCAATTTTAAGCAAAATGTATTGCAAAACGCTGCGCTCCGGATGTGTGTGTGTGTGTGTGTGTGTGTGTGTACGTGGGCGTCTGAATGGCGAGGCTCCCACTCACCAGACTGAGGAGGAGAAAGGTTATTACTATTATCACAATTATTAGAGCAGGCTCAACCCAGGGCAAGATCTTCAGCTCAGGCTCGGATCTCCAAGAAAAGATACACACGACATCCCGTTGAGCTCCGTGGCTACAGCACGAAGTCCAACGACTCCTTGCTTCTCCTTTTTGTTAAGCATGAGGGGGAGGGAATAATTTCCATTCCTCCCGAGTCTCAGAATTGCCCGGGGTAAAATAATAGTAATAATCATAATAATCGGACAGATCCGAGTTTCCCCCCCCCCACCTCTCCTTTCTGGATCTGCACGGCTACTGCTTGCTCATATTCAGAGGCCTTGTTCACATGACAGAGAGGGATAGCGCGGAGGAAAAGTTTAACAAGACGCCAGCAGACGAGTTGAGTATTTGCTAGCAGGTGGTTGGGCCGACAGATTTCCGAAGGGCGGCAGTTTGCATGTTAAAGCAACTGATTTGCATTTTAATTGGAGAAGAAAATGAAACTGAGGGGTTTTTGTGGGGGGGGTGGGGTGGGGGGAGACGTGGAGGCTGAACAGTTGCTGAAACCAGTGAGTAAATAAAGACTGATTAGATAGAGAGATAAATATATAATAGATCTCACAGAGAGAGAGAGAAATTTTTTTCCCATCAATGCCGGAAGGCTAAACCACACATTGCATTTTTAAACGCACGCCTAAACACATAAAAGTGTCAGTTTCAATCTTGCAAGCACGCCTGTCATAAGGACACGCGCGTC